TAGCTTCAAGATCTTGCACTCCTGGTGGGTGCTGACGGGACAGGGCATCAGCATTTCCATTACTTCTACCAGAGCGGTACTTCATCTCAAAGTCGAAAGACGCAAGTTGGGCTGCCCAACGTTGTTCAGTGGCTCCAAGCTTTGCCGTGGACAGGTGGCTAAGTGGATTGTTGTCAGTGAAAACAACACATTTATGACCAAGCAGATATTCCCTGAATTTCTCGGTCATGGCCCACTTGAGCCCCAAGAACTCCAGCCTCATGGAGCTGTAGTTGGCAGAGTTGCATTCAGTGGGCCTCAGACCTCTGCTGGCATAAGCTATGGGCCTGACCTTACCACCTTGCTCCTGTGATAACACAGCTCCGAGGCCACCAAAGCTTGCGTCGACCTCCAGAATAAATGGGAGGGAGAAGTCAGCATAGGCAAGCACAGGTGCCGTGGTGAGCTTTGTCTTGAGAGCCTCAAAGCTCCTATGACACTCCTCAGTCCAGTTCCCAGCGATTTCACGCTCTGATCTCCTTTTGGACTTGGTGCCTCCCAACTCAGCCACCAACGTATGTAGAGGGGCAGCCAATTTGGCAAAGCCCTCCACAAACCTACGGTAGTAACTGGCAAAACCAAGGAACGACCGCAGTCCAGAGATGGTAGTGGGGGGCTGCCAACTGGCTACCACCTCCTGTTTGCTGGGATCAGTAGAGACACCCTGGTCAGAAATCACATGGCCCAGGTAACGCACCTCTCGCTGGAAGAAAGCACACTTTGAGAGCTTAGCCTTTAAGCCTTCATGCTGTAGCCTTCTCAGCACGACCTCCAACCTCTCAAGATGTTGATCCACGGTGGAAGAGAATACCACGATGTCATCAAGGTATAAAAGCAAAGATTGGCATTGTTGGTCCCCGAAGATCCGCTGCATCAATCTTTGGAAAGTGCCAGGAGCATTGCAGAGTCCAAAGGGCATCCGATTCCACTCAAAGAGGCCAAACGGGGTGCAAAACGCAGTTTTTGGCCGGTCTGCTTCTGAAACTGGTACCTGGTTATACCCACTGGCTAAATCCATGGTGAAAAACCAGCGAGCACCCGTCAGCGCATCAAGAGACTCTTCGATTCGAGGGAGAGGAAAAGCATCTTTCCTGGTTTTGCTGTTCAGCTGCCTGTAGTCTACGCACATGCGCAGGCTACCATCCTTCTTTTTCACTAGCACGCAACTCTCTCTTATGATCTGTGACTCAAGAAGTTGGTTGATGTGCTCCTTCACTACCTCGTACTCAGACGGGGGAATGCGCCTATAGCGTTGCTTCACGGGGACGTCATCAAGAAGAGGGATGTCATGAGAGATCAAGGTGGTGCAACCCAAGTCCCCCTCGTGAGCAGAAAAGACAGATGTGTGCTTCGTCAAAAGTGACCGTACCTTAACCTGTTCTTCAGCAGGCAAGGAAGACAGGTCTAGAGCATCCAGCTGGTCAGGCACAGAGGGAAAGGCAGCCTGGGATGCCACTCTGGCCACACAGGATGGTACTTCGGTGACACCAACAGGCAAGTTGACTAGCCTAACTTCATCGAGTGTGTCTACCAGTGTGCGGGGATACAGCAACACGTCTGCGGAGCCTACGTTCACAATAGGGATGTAGGCGGTGCCCCTTTCCACCCGAACCAGAGCTGGAGAGGCAAGCAATCCAGCCGGAAGACCCGAATCCAAGGGCTCAATTAACACAGTGCCACTTGAGTACTGCTCTGAGCATGTGGCTGCAACAATCTTCATCATGCCACCAGGGATACGACAAGCCTTCCTTCCACGCACTTTTACCCCTCCTGAACTGTCAGGAGGGGCCTGCACACTGGCCTGATGGCATTTTTGCAAAGCCTGAATGAATGATTCGGGGGCCTCCGATACAGGAGGCAAAGAAAACAAGGCCAAACCATGCTGGCCAAAGAGCTCCTTGTAACATCTGCGAATTATATTCATCCCCAGAATACCAGGGACTGCAGAAGAGACACCACCGGGGGGGTCCTTCACCACCAACACACCACAGCTTGCCATTACCTTTCCACAAAGCTCAACTTCTAGCTCCAAGTAGCCAATGTAAGGGATGGCCAACCCATTGGCTGCTCTGAGCTGCAGCCAGTGACAAGATTGGAGCCTCTCCTGGCCCCAGGGTTCAAAATGCTGATGGAAAAAGCTCTCTGTGATTGTCGACACCATGGACCCAGTATCTACCAAACAAGGAACCTTAACTCCACCCATGCTTACATCTAAATGTGGACAAGAAGACATGAGCTTAGAAGCTTCTCCTGAGCCTGTGACTCCACCCCCCGAACTGTGGCTCCGTAATTCGGTGGGCGCTAGTTTTCCGATGGCTGAGTGAAACGGCGCTGCCCGCTAGACTGTTGAGCAGGTGAGGACGGCCGAGCACGAGGAGCAACACGTACCCCATCGCACTCACGGGCAAAATGACCGGATAGCTGGCAACGTCTACAAATTATGGGGCCACTATAAGGGGGGGCGACTGCGCAGCTGAGAGCCCTGGAAACGAGAAATGCTTTGAGTAAGCGTGTTAAGCTGCTCTTGCTGGAGTTTTAGCATCTCTCTCATCTCACTCAGTTCAGACACCTGATAGCCAGTCACCACCTGAGGACCACCCTGAACTCCATACTGTAGACCAAGAACTGAAGGGACAGAGTGACTTCGGCCCCTATTGCCACCAGGCAAACCCTCACGTTCCCACCTGATTGCTTCCGCCCTAGCATCAAGTAATGCCGCAGTAGGTTGTCAACGCACAAACTGTTTTAACTCTCGTCGCAATGCACAATCAATGACATGCTCTACAAATTGGTCGCGTAGCAAAACCTCTGCATTTTGCATGTCATCAGGCGCCCGCTGCTTTACAGATGACATAAGACTAAGCAACGCAAGGGAGAATTCCTGCAAAGTCTCCCCTTCTTGCTGCCGTCGGGAGAAGAAAGCCTCTTGTAAAGCTACGTAAGAATCAGAACAACCATACAGCTCTGTCAACACAGCAATTATTTTGACAGGGTCTTCCCGCTCTGCACTTGCTCTGTATTTTATCTCATCACGGGCCTCTCCTTCAAGATGGTCAAACAAGAAAAATGCCTGATCGGATACAGACAAACGGCGCGCTCTCATACAAGCCTGTACTTCCTCGATCCACTCACTCAACCCTATTCCTGATCTCCCCCTAAACATAGGACATTTCCTATCTCGGGGCACAAAAACCAGTCTATCCGCTGAAGGGGCACTAGCATTGAAAGGATTAGAAGGGGGAACAGTAGCAGTTAAAGGGGCAGCACTAGGACCAGGCACCTCCACAGCCCGTTCCTGCAACACCCTCAACTCTTGTAACTCTCCCTCCATAGCTACACCGTTGCTAATTCAGTGGAGATAGGGCACCAAAATAGACAGGCAATACACAATAATAAACACTGACTTGCCAAAGGTCCACAAGAAACCAACTGCTGTTTTGCTTCGGAACACAATATAAAACACTTAATACAGGGTAAACTAGCTTCTAGCAATGGCCACAATACAACACTAATAATAATAATAAATAATTGAAACACACGTCTCTGCTCTCAAAAAGTAAATCCTGCCGACAACGCCAGTTTGTGGCAGTAGCCGCAGAGGGGAGGATAAGTGAATGTATTTGTTCAAGTTGGTTTGATTACACCATTCACAATTCCGACAACGCCACCTTGGGAGTTTCACCCAAGGAAATATTAACACTTTTTCAGAGGACACATAGGTTCGAATACTAATGGAGCCGGAGACGTGGTTTCAATTTATGAAAAATATACAATTTTATTTAGCACAAGTCAATAGTTTAAAATGCAGTTTAAAACAGTCACACAGGGCTGTAGCACAAAGGGAAAAAATGAATTAGGGGCTGAGGCTTACCAGTGGGGGGATAGGGTCGACGAGTGAGTGGAAGAATCCCCAAACAAACCAAACTTAAATCACCCCAGTCATACGTGCAGGAAATCAAATCCCGGGGGAGCACATCACACACAAAAGAAGAGAGGAAAACCACCACCTTGGACACCAGCACCACCACCTTCAGCTCTCAGTAACTAAGTAGGGAAACAAAGAGGGAAATGCAGTTAATGGGGGCTAAATAAGTCAATCAAAGTAATAAACAAACACAATAGCAAATATGTTCTCATAAACAGATAACTTGTGTAAACATTTAAGAATAAAACAAATCACAAGAGAAAAGGTTCAGTTAAACAAAATAAACAATTAACTAGAATAAAATAAACAAACTAATTTAAATCAAGTTGGCCAAAGTAAGGACAAGTTATAGGGGGGAGTTAGCCCCAGAGTTCAATGACTTCCACACTTCGAGTGTCGGCCCAAGCAAGCAGCAGGAAGGCGTGCAGTTAAAGCAGCGCGCCTCCGCAGTAGGCGACGCAAAGCTGGCCAGAAGCAGCAATCAGAAGCAGCAATATAGTAGCAGTAGCCCAAACATTTAGGCAGGATCAACAGCAGTTGTGCCGATAAATACACTTTCTCCGGTGAAGCAAAACAGCAGATGTCCCCTAATCATTGGATTGGCCCGATCAGGCTTTCCTATCGATGACGCAGAGAGGAGAGAGCTTCATGCTTTCTATGGCTGCGTTGACAGGCTGCACCCGGAGGATCCTCCACTGCACCGGTGGCGGAAGCAAACACGGCAAACATGCAAGTGGGGCGGGTCTGTGTACCAACAAACAAGAGACAGCCAGCTAGAAACCTCTGCCCTTTTATAGGGTGCCCCCTGGTGGTGATATGCTCACAGGAGCCAAACGAGGAGAATATGCTTTACAAGGGATTAGGACTCTCATCCTGCCACAATCGCAGTGGTTCACTGTTGCCACTAGTATGCACAGAAAATCTGGACTTCAAATGTAAGGAAATATCTGCAATATTTAAACTGCTTCATACTCAGACGTACAACTAGTAGAAACATGTGTACTAATACAAGCGTGTGTGTCTCATTCCTCTGCAGCTACCTGGGTTGGAGGTGGATTTATCATGGGTTTGGCTGAGGCTGTGTACTCTCCTAAAATGGGCTTAATATGGGCTCTTATGCCTCTACAATACTCAGTGTCCTTCATTATAGGTAAGGTAATAGCAGAAGGCAAAGATATAATCTTTGTGTTTTTCTGTCTCTTATTTCATCTGTTTTATTGAGATTTTATTAAACAGTAAATGGACAACAAAGCTTGGTGTTCTGGATTCAAGCAGCTTACATACACAGTGCCCACACCATTAAATAATTAAGGTCGGAATGCAATATAATGTTTAAAATCTCATCCCCTGCAATAGGTGGTATTTTCTTTGCAAAGCCAATGAGGGATAAGGAGTATGTCACCATGATGGACCCTTTCCAGATAAAGTATGGCAAAGTTCTCAGCACTGCTCTGGTGCTGCCGGCGCTGCTAGTGGATGTGCTGTGGGTGTCCTGCACTCTGCTTAGCTTAGGTAAACATACATACAAACCATGTAAAACAACACTAGTAATGGATAAAATGTATTGCATTACGTTTTCTGTGTCTGTGTATTCTCTAACAGGAGCAACTATGACTGTGATACTGGACCTGCCCTACGCCTATTCTGTTTGGATCTCATCATCTGTGGCCATCATCTACACGTTGTTAGGTGGTCTTTATTCAGTGGCCTACACTGATGTCATCCAACTCTGTCTCATTTTCTTTGGTTTGGTGAGTTACAAGCATCTTAAATTACCACGTTTATTTTTAAAGAAGTTCATATCTTCAGGATTGTGTATTTACATCTTGTTTAAAGCTCCACCATCCAACATGCATTCAACCTACATCTTGATAAATCAATAAATCATTTTATTTTTGTAAATCATTGTATCGTCATAACATTTCAAGTCATATATATCATTTTGTATTCAGTTTTGTTTCTCCATAATAAATCCTCAAAATAGTTATTGCATTTAACCTGTTTTTTGTTTATACATTTTTTTTAAAGTGTTGCTTCTGAAGGCCAATAACACATTTATTTCCAGAATTGTTGTGTTTTCTTTTAACAATAAATCCAGCTGTAATGCTAAGAACATTTGGTAAGATGTCATGTAAATGGATAAAATAGGGCTGAGTGAGGTGTGTGTGTTGGAGGGATAGTCAGTGTATCACCTACGGTGGTTGGCACGCCCCCAGTTTGGAGAATATAAATAATTTACTGCACAACATTTAAATAATGCACTGCTGCGGAAATAACTTTACTAACTGTACGTTATATTTATAATATTTTAAATTCTCACCTTGCTTGAGAAAATGTAAACCACAAAAGCCCTCCAAACATCCAAACTATCCCAATCTTAGGTTTGTACAAACTTTTCAAACAAAATGAAATGGAGCTCTCAAACCTACTCTTTTTTTAGATGTTATTTAGCTGACCCATTTGTTCAAAGCAACTTACATACACTTTAATGCCATAGACATGCCTACAGGAGCAATAGGCAGTAGGGTACCCTGCCCAAGGACACTTCAACATGATGACTGCAGGGGCTGGGATCAAACTACTGACCCCCTGATGTGCAAATTAGTGCACTAACCGCCCTCTTATTTTTCCATTAAAAAGTGGAGCAGGAAATCATTAAAACAAATCTGAAGCTCCAGAACTTGTTTTTGGATTGATTTGAACAGACGTTTGGTTGAATGTGAGGTTCTATTTGTTTTTAACATCTGACAGAATAACTATTGCGCTTTGGTCTTCAGTCTGATTATCTCAATATCTGTTTGCAGTGGTTGTGTGTCCCCTTCCTGCTGCTCAACCCGTCATCTACTAACATTGCCCAGACTGCTTTCAATCACACGTTCCAAGAACCCTGGGTCGGCACTCTGCGGCAGGACCAAGTCTGGAAGTGGATTGATGACTTCCTAATGATCGTAAGCTAAATATTCACCAGTGCATGTAACGCTGCTTCTACCCATTAGCTCAGAGCACATATATGTGTGACAGACAAACAAACATCCATGCTGTTACAGGCACTGAATGTTATGTTTGTTTTAGTTTTCTACTCTTTTTATATTTGAAATAATTTGCAATGCCTTGTTCTGACAGGCTGCTGTGATGAAAATAACCCTAACCCAATTTGGGATCAATAAAGTATATCTTATCCTAACTTATCTTATCTTAAGTAAGCTGAGTTTTTTTATGACATCTAGTAAAGATGATATTTTACACAGAGGAGGTTGCTAGAAGGATCCCGGATTGTGAATTGTCATTGGCTTGTCCACTGACACTGTCATTTCCACACAAATGCAAATCTCATTTTTGTTCTTTTTTGGGGTTACAACCATGCCACAACACCAGCCTCCCTTGTTCAGTCCTTACCCCATAGAAAACCGCCAAATGTGTCTCTCATACAGAATCCCCGTGTATTTACATGGTTTAGCTTTGTTGAAATTGTTGAAATTGGTCAAGAAGTGGAATGGTTCAATTGCGTATTTTCTAGTCGTATAGTTAGAAATTATTTATTGTGTTAATCACAATAAGAATCTGTGATTGATCATGATTAAGTTTAAAATACTATGTATTATTACACGTGTGGGGTTGTAATAAAGAAATGCACAACCAACTGGTCAGGGAAATCAAAGTTATTATTTTATTTATTATAACAACTCAGCTTAGTTTTGATGAATGCTAAATATTTGGCTTGAAGTCCGACAATTTTCCGACACTTAGCAAACGCATTTACAAAGCCTCTGTCATTCCCTTCTGTGTAATGTGAGCCACACTGGGCATATTATCTCTGCTGCTATCATACTGCCAGCACTGCTCCTACAGTGGTGACTCCCTCCACTATCTCACACTCCTGTGCAACTTCAAAATACTGGTGCATGGTTCAGAAAACACCATTCCTCTGTTTTCACCACACTTGAAGACTGAGAGCAGAACATTTGTCATAGATTAGGTGTGCTGTTAGACTGAGGTATTTATTGTTATCACTGCCATGCAATTCATGGTATAAAATGTAACTGGAATAACAGGAGGAAATTGGGGTCAAACTGTAGTGTGATTAATTAAGGTTTACAGATTAAAAGCAAGTGTTAGCGCTTTAACATAGACAGCCCTAATATTCCCTTTAGCAGGAGACTGTGGTCCACATCTAAAAAAGGGACCACTCTCAACACAATGTTTAAAGGTGGGGTAGGTAAGTTTGAGAAACTGGCTCGAGATCGCTAGAATTTGAAAATACACAACCGGAGAAAATCTGCCACTTACAGAGCCCCTCCTCCAACACACACGAACGCGCACATGACCAATGAGGGCACGAGATAAGTTTGTGCACAGATGGAAGGCTGACAGGCAGGTAGGCCATCCAGTTATTTTAGCCGGGCCGGATAAAATGATTGGTTGTGCTTTTTACAGTACTACGGCTTCCACAGATGACATTTTTTTATGGATTTTTTGTCAAAGCACTTAAGATATTTACTTAAGATGTTAAGAGCATTCCATGGAATATAACAAAAAGTGTATCTCGAGCCGGTTTCTCAAACTTACCTACCCTACCTTTAAGGCGCATTCCTACATAGAAAAGACTTGAGATAATTGTACTTACACAGTTGGAAGTTAAATTGCATGAGTGACAGAGAAAACTTCCACTGCACACAAAGCCTGTAACCCTGATCTAATACTGAGTCCATCTGTGACATCATCAACAGGTCAAATGCCAAACTGATACAATTACACCACACTGCCAGTCCAGCGTCTATAACTTATTGTCTTGTATCATCTATATCTATATTGCTTTTATATCTAAAAAGAGGCAAAATACAAATATATGGGATATGTTTAAATGTGCGGCAGAAATCTTGCGTAAAAACATATTAATAAAATAGGTTAATGATCATTAACCATAATATAATATAATATGTTACTTCCCCAAAACAAAAGAGGACATACAAGTAAATCATTTGTCTTCAGGTCACATGGCACCTGAAAGACATTTCCAGCAATAAAAAAATGCAGAAGGCACATAATGTAAATACAAATTCAGCAGAATGCAGGAAACTATGTAGTTAACACTCAAAATGTCCTGTTGAATGGCCCCCACCATAATATGCGCTGCTTGCCAATGTTGAAACAAAACTTAAATACATGCTCAGTGTGAGTTTTTTTATGTTAATTGAGTCCTGTTGGTGCAGTGTTTGGTGTAATTGTTATGTTTTCAAAAGGCTGACTAACCCTAACCCTTTCTAGGGACTTGTGGTTCCTATATCAGACAGTGATACTGCGGGTCAGGAATATCTCTACAGCGTTAACACTGACCTTTCCCCTGGTTTTGCCCATTGCATCCTGGGAAAGAGTGTAGCCTTGAACCACATCAGGAGAGATATTTAGATTTTCCTGTGTCTCATTAAGAACAGTACTGGTGAATCAGCATATGTAATACTTTGGTTATAGGAATACTTGATTAAAGGGGGAATTACATTTGTCTGTGAAGTATTCATCTTTATGTTTTTTCTGAACATTCACTGAACTTTTCTTTTAGTATTAGGAAAAACAGGAAAGTACCCTTGTATTAGTATATCTGATAATTTGTTGTATATCTTGGTTATTGTTTCTCACCCTCAACAAGGTTCTCCATGTGCTCTTTTCTACCAGGGTCTTGGTAGTCTTTCATTTCAGTGCTTCCACCAGAGGACGCTCTCTGCCTCCTCTTCACGTACAGCCCAGCTAACCTGCTATGCTGCTGCTCTTTCCATCGCCATACTGGGAATCCCTCCAGTCTTAGTTGGGGCTATTGCCGCCTCTACAGGTGGGAATGAGGTTGAAGATCACAGCACTTTTATAATGATACCTAAATGGTGTCATTTTTTACATATTGACAGTTTTTTGCCCGAACACATTAGGCGCGTTCACACCAAGTACTTTTCCCACAATAGTTCATCAGAACGCGATCTGCTTTAGTTCTGATGAACTAATTTAGTTCCTGGGGCTTTTTGGTGTGAACGCAAATATATCGTAGTTCTGATGAACTATTGTGGGAAAAGTACTCTGGTGTGAACGCGCCAAATGAGTCTTAAACTACATAATCTAGTTATAATTATGGTTTAAAAACAAAATAAAAACTGTTGTTTCCTGAAAGTTAATAGAATTAACATTAACATTTTCCATCCTATTGATTCAAATGTTTTTTCTTCATATTGGAACCTTGTGAAAAGTGATGCAACTATTGTCACTGTTTACTTTCAGAAAACAGTCGGGTACTATAAACCTGCTAAATCCAGGGTCTCCCCATGATAACCTTTAAATATTGTGTCTTAGGTTTAGATGAGGCAGGTTTTCGGGAAATGAACTGACACATTCTTGATGTGTTGTTGCAACCTGTCTCTTAAGTTTTAACAGGGTGTGAACACATTGACGTTGATAGCTTGCAATTACAAAAAAATATACAAATTAATCACATTACCTAGTTTGACCCCCACCTCCTCCCACAATTGCAGCGCAGATTTTTACCATGGATTGCAGGGCATTAAAAAGGCAAAGAAAGCAGAGGAATAAGCCCAAGCTACATGTCTGCCGCCAGGCTTCTCACCCGCACCAAGCCATGGCAACATATCACCCCCACCCTCATCCACCTACACTGGCTGCCGGTCAAGTCCCGGATTCAGTACAAAACACTCCTCACGTACAAGTCCCTCCATACCCTCGCCCCCCAGTACTTATCGGACCTCCTCCATCCCTACACCCCTTCTCGGAGTCTGCGGTCCTCAGACACGGGCCTGCTCTCCATCCCCCGCTCTCGCCTCCGAACTGTTGGTGACAGGGCGTTCAGTGTTGCGGCCCCCACCCTCTGGAATGCACTTCCTGCCGAGATCCATAATGCTGCCTCCCTGGACCTCTTCAAATCATCATTAAAAACACACCTGTTCACCCTGGCCTTCGGGCCCTAGCCCTTTCTTGGTCCCCCGGCTTCCTTTATTTAGTGGGAATGCTGATACAGCATTCCAACTATATGTTATTCAAATTCTTTATTATTATTCCGCCGGAATTTTGCACCTCTTCTCCTCCCGCATTGAACATTGCAGAAACTCCGTTCAAACATCAAAACGTTCAGCTCGGTCGGGAATCGATGGCTATTACTTTTCTCATTCATAACTTTCATAATTCCAGAGATATATCCCATAATTCATCAAATGTTTAACATGGAAGTCAATGGAGAAATTCTTCAGACTTCAACAAATCTTCATGCGACCTCAACTGCTAACTGTTCATTCATACTTTCACTCAGAAACCTCATTCCAACTTTAAAATGTTACACATCCTTCTGACATTATTCGTGTAACACAACTTTTAAATCTGATTCTTACTTTTAGAGATATTAAACATTGTTCAGACCTTGGTAAAGAGGCTTTCTTCAGATTTTAACATTAACTAGAGTGCGTGATGTCACAGCTAGAGTGTAGGAAATCTTGAAATGTGTCTTCATATCTTTTTTTTAAACTGCCATAATTCCCAAACCCTACATTCCTGAGACATCATTTTTCATGACAAATGTAGGAAAACATCTCGTAGCTTGAAAAATGACAAATAATGAAGCAAAATAATTAAACAAAATGCCTCTTGAGGGCATGAAGTGACAACAAATTTCAACATGCCTCCATTAAAGCCCATTGTAATTTCAGGCTGATATTTCCTCACGGTAGCAGCTGCACACCTTTAGTTAAACTGCCAAAAAGGCCACATTATTAACCCGAAAGTACACACAAATTACACTTCAGATACTCAACTTCCTTGACATGCTTCACGTTTTGAAATTTCACAGATATCTGTTACGGTTCTTCGACAAAACGTTCACATGTAAGAGGTTTATCTCTCATTCAGAACAATGGAAACCTTTGATCTCTGGAGACCTCGTTAGCTCAAATATAAACACCTGTGTCATGGAACACGATGATGTCATAACACACAGGTGTTCGTGTTTGAGCTAACGACGTGGTCACTGGAGTTTAACAGACTGTCTGAGCCTATTCTTTTCTGTCTGATGGAGACTTCATACTGACTTCAACATGTTTCACCTATTTTATACATTATTGGTGACACACAGCTGTCGTCGTTAGCTCAAATATAAACACCTGTGTCATGGAACACGATGATGTCACATTGACAGGTTTGGTAACGATGCAGCCATCAACGCATCTAAGCGTATTATGGGGTGTCATCAAATGCCGTTGCAATGGCAAAAGACCACTCGCCATGAAGCACGATGTCGCTGTAAGTCCAATGGACACGGTCCGATCGTCCCCCAAACTTCGCTTGTATATCACCGGTCCAGCCCTCAACAGCTCTACGTCAATTATGGGGTTTCTTCAAATGCCGTTGCCATGAAACACGGTTTTCTCATAACTTCAGTGAAAATGCTCCAAACGGCCCAAAACTTCACAGGTTTGGTAACGATGCAGCCATCAACGCATCTAACCGTATTATGGGGTGTCATCAAATGCCGTTTCCATGGAAACGCATCCCTCGCCATAAAACACGACGTTGTCGTGATACCTATGCAAATGGTCTTATGGCGCATTTCCACTACACGGTCGGCCTCGGCCACACTCGGTACGGCTCGGTACAGCTTGGCCGCGTTGGGCCTTAACAGGGCCGACTCACTTCATGCTGCGCTTCCATTACAGTTTAGGAACTGGGGTAGTTACTATAGTAACGCAGTGTAGGCGGAGCCGTGACGTCATCTTCAATGAGAAATCCAGAAACACAACACAGCCGTTAGCTGTGAGCACTCAGAGCTCACAGCTCCTTATATATGTTCAGAAACTCGACAAAAGTTAAACAAGTACACACCACAGACTGCCTGTGTCATGGTGAATACAGTCGCTGCCTTATTTATGTCTGTATAGGCCGTTGTTGTGAGTGTGGACGGTCGGGGCATATACTGCGTTAGCTTAGCCAATCTCCATCTAGAAAAACACGAATTTTAAAAGGTTTTTCGCCTGCCGTCTGTCTGCAGACTTGACAAAGCATTAATTCATGGTTTTTACTAACCGGTATCAGTATGTTGTTACTTCGGCATCATTTTGAAACGTGTATTACAATTAAATCACGGTCAAATATGTCCATCTTGTTGTAGTTCTAGCCCTCTTGCCAGCGCTCCTCTCTCTAGTTTAGCATACTCAGCCCGACTCAGCCCTGTTTGTTGGCCCCGATAGAACCACAATTTTCTAGGGCCAGAAAAGAGGGGAAAAAGTGGCCCCGCGCCGTGCCGCGCCGGAACGAGGCCTAGTGGAAGCACAACCAAAAAAGGGGACGGCACGACACGGCACGCTTAAAGCGAGCTACGCGCTGCAATGGAAATGCGCCATTAAACAGCACCAGACTTCAGATGACAGTTAATGGTCCAGTCCTTAACATGTCTATGTGCCATTAGTGAGTTTTCCTCAAAAGCTGTTGCCATGGCAACGCATCCCTTGCAATAAAACACGATATTGCTATAACTCCTATGAAAATTGTCAAAAAGTGATAAAACTTCACGTGTGAAACCACTGTCCTCTATCTTCCCAGCACTTAATAACAGGAATGTAATATAATTATTTCTCCTGTCCAGACTGGAACCTGACTCAGTACGGTTCCCTATCACCAGACGGCCGTGTTGAGCCTAGTTTGGTCCTGCCCCTGACTCTACAGTACCTCACTCCGCCTTATATCTCAATCATTGGAATCGGAGCAGTGGCTGCTGCTGTGATGTCATCAACAGACTCTGCCCTGTTGTCTGCAACCACTGTATTCTCTTCAAACATCTACAAGAACATCCTGCGTAAACAGGTAAGGCTCACAAGATGTTGATGGTGGCAGCTCAATTGCAAAATGTGATTCCAGAAACGAGAGGTTCGGGTGTCGGATTAAAAACGTAAACCCATCAATCTATTTTGGAGAGCTCAGCAGAGGTGGGAGGAGTACTCAGATCTTGTACTTAAGTAGAAGTACCAGAGCGTAGGAACACTCTGTGTAAAAGTCCTGCAGTCAAAATGTTGCTTAAGTAAAATTACAATAGTATTAGCATCAAAGTATACCTCAAGAACCAAAAGTACTCATTATGCAAATTGGTCAATTTCAGAATAATATATATGGTATGTTTTATAATGATTGATCATTCAAGTGTTATCAAAGCTGGTAAAGGTGCAGCTAGTTTTAATGACATTGTATACTGCAGGGTAGCTTGTAAATTTACTCCAGGTGATACTGAAGTCTGATTTAAGTGCTGATTATATTTTAGTGGGAATGCCGATACAGCATTCCAACTACTTGTTCTTCAACGCACGAAATTCTTTATTATTCCGCCGGGTTATTTTGCGCCTTTCTGCTCCCACATTCCACATCGCAGAAACTCTGTTCAAACATCAAAACGTTCAGCTCGGTCGGGAATCGATGGCTATTACTTTTCTCATTCATAACTTTTATAATTCCAGAGATATATCCCATAATTCATCACATTTTTAACATGGAAGTCAATGGAGAAACTCTTCAGACTTGAAAAATCTTCATGCGACTTCAACTGCTAACTGTTCCTTCATACTTTCACTCAGAAACCTCATTCCAACTTTAAAATGTTACACATCTTTCTGACATTATTCGTGTAATACAACTTTTAAATCTGATTCATACTTTTAGAGATAATAAACATTGTTTAGACCTTGGTAAAGAGGCCTTCTTCAGATTTTAGAGTGCGTGATGTCACAGCTAGAGTGGAGGACAGATTTAATTTTGCCTTCATATTTTCTTTTAAACCTGCCATAATTCCCAAACCCAACCCATGGAGACATACTTTTTCATGACAAACGTAGGAAAACATCTCGTAGCTTGAAAAATAAAAAACAATTAAGCAAAATAATTAAACAAAATGCCTCTTGAGGGCATGAAGTGACAAAAACGTTCAACATGTCTCCATTAAACTCCATTGTAAATTCAGCTTTCCCCACCACAGCAGCCGCACACCTTTAGTTAATCTGCCAAAAAGGCCACATTATTAACCCGAAAGTACACAAAAAGTACACTTCAGATGCTCAAGTTCCTTGACATGCTTTGAAATTTCACTGATATCTGTTACGGTTCTTCAACAAAATGTTCACATTGTGGGGGAAACTTCTGTGTAGCTATGCATTGGGAGTCACCAACTCAGGAAGGAGACACGGTGAGAGTTGGAGCTTTTGATGTCAAACACTGATGGGTTTATTCAGAGTATCGGCCGGAGGATTCACATCACAAGTCAAAGAGTCAGAGGTTCTGACTTCACGGTAGAGTTGCCACGTCAATTCTGAAGAGCCTCTCTCTATGCTAGACCTTTTAACTGGTTCACAGAGAGTAATCAACATCTCTGAAGGAGTAGACTAAACAGCTGGGAACACTGAACCACTTGCGTCCGACACTCATGGCCTCAAAGATTTCACACCTTAGAGTCCACAAACACGGATAAAGAAGTGCCTCAGCGTTCTCACAACAATTACCATTCGTGCCAGACAAGTTGACCAGTCACAAACTGGTAACAACAACACATATGGCACCAATGCCTTTCCTTAAAGGAGATAACAGACGTCAGAGTAGATCATAAAACGTCACAGAGCAAAAGGTTAGATATCTAGAAGAATTATTCCTTAACAGTTCCTCTCTTTTTATCATTTTTGATAACCTTAAAACATTAGTCGAAGAATAATTTTGGTCAATACTTAAATCAATAGGCGTCTTCAGATTCGAGTGTGACCTTACATTCAATTACATCACAAAGTAGAATAAGATTGAAACATTCAATCACAATAATTGATACAGCCAATCATAATAGGAAAAATTATCTCTCATCAGTGTTTGGAGCATCTTTTGTCAATAAGCACAATAATGAACACACATAAAACACAGATACATAATAGCAAAATATTTGTCTTAAACTAATATCTTTTATCCTTTAAACCATTTGTTAATGTCATTTATCAAACTATAAAATCAAAACCAGCTTGCAGCTTAAAGATTTGCTTTAAGGCAATCACTTGTCAAAAGCATTTAAAACTTAGGATCATAAGATCTCCAGCTAAGGCATAAAATTCACAGTGGTGATTTGATCAATCTGTAATCTGCAAAGTTGCAGTGTCCTCAATTTTAGGATTACTTTACGTTTACTTCATTACGCTTTAGCCAAGAGTAAGGCACTTAGTCTTAGTAAAATCAATACATTCATTTTAGTCAAGTACATTGTTCAAAATCTGAAAAGGAAAAGTCAGGCAAATATTCAAAGACTTTTGTAAAAACCTGGAAAGGAAACATTCTTAAAACATTAATTCATACATTTGTAAATGCTACAACTGATCTGTACCAAATTAAGTCTATCAATTATTCTTATTAGCCATACTTACCTGAAAATCTACTTATGGTACTTGGAAAGGGTTCTTCTGTGTTTATCTAATGTTGAATATAGAATATCAATTTCTTTAAATTATACTTCTCTAATTTGAGGATCAAATATGCTACATAATTGTTATATGAATTATTATAAATATTTGTTTTGGGCCAAAACTGAAATTAATCCAGTACTTGAAACATCATTTTAGGTCTGTCTGTGCATGGGTAATATATTAAAGAGTAGTGTTGTTAAGCCTGATTTCTGGATGATTAAGGATATTAACATTATCTGTTATAATATTAGAAATATCTTATTATTCAATACCTTATAATCTGAAAATATGTATTTATTAATTTTGTTTAGTGTGAAAGTGTAATCTGATCTGACTAAATATATTTATCACCACTACAGTATTTAACACATGTCTGGTCATTGGAAATATAAAAACCAATCATTAATTGTACATCTTTAAACATCTGGACATTCAATTCAAAGTTCATCTTTGTACGAGAGCTGGAAGAACATGTCTGTCAGTCTTCCTGACTCGTTCTCCTCCTCCCTTTATGACACTGAGTGTCTGGTGTGTAAAGGCATCCTGATACTGTAGATTAGCACTGAGGTGCTGATTGGCTCAAACTCTTCTTCATCAGAGCGCCATATTTCAACCCCCCCAATTGCTCTGCTTTTGTGTGGCTCATTCAGTGAGCACTGTAGCTGATCCCCCAGTGAGACGGAGGCTCATCTGCCTGTATTACTTCTGCTATCTGCTTGAGAGCAGTGCAACTGCGTATTCCTAGTGGCGCATCCAGGTGTCCCCCCCGTGATGGGAGAGGTTAGGAAGACATCAAACTCCTCCAAGAAACATGGAACCTTGTATTATAGAAGCCTCTGAAGCCCTCGCTCGTCCTGCAGGGTTGTCTGCTAGAGCCCACCGAGCAGAAAGATGAAGAGAAGAACCCCATCTTATCAGAAAGGTGAAGAGAAGCATCCCATCTTATCAGAAAGGTGAAGAGAAGCATCCCATCTCGAACGACCTCGTGCTTCCTTGCACGTGGCTGGGGGTGCTCTCTGCACCCGGAGAGTGTGACCCTCTCTCTCTGACCCTTGGCCTTGAGAGCTGTCCTAGTTATTGGGTTAACACCTGATAGGGATGTTTTTCTGAGTGAAGACAACTCAAAGTAATGGATTAGCACATTATCATTTAATTACAAAAATAGGCCCCTCAGAATGATTTGGGAGCCTTCCTGACACATGCACATTATCATTTTGAAGGTTTGTGTTAGTCATTGAACATGCAAGAATCATATACTCATCAGTCCATAGCAGAGACATTTTATTGTAAGTTAAAGGTGAGCTAGTCCCTGTGGATATAACCCCTTCTCAATGATTCTAAATGTATATTAATTCACCATTTACCTTTTGATAAAATATTAGTTTATCAGAAATATTTTGTCTCTTCCATAAAACATAGGTTTGAGAAATAAATTACCCAATATAAAATAAATTACTCAATATAATTGACTCTTCCCTCCCTTTTCTTACATATGTTACATATGAAATAATAACTTAGGAGTCTATTTAAGCATGGTATAGTTTATAATCTATTAATCGAGAAGACTCAGTATCACCTGTGTGCAGCTTACAAAAAACCATTGTGAGAAACATATATTATGCAGGAAATTGATACATTTGTTGAAGAACAAAGCATATCTGATTTGGGAGGAAAAGTTTCATCCCTTTAACATCTGAGTTATTACTGAAGGCATAGCATGAATGATATTGGGTGTCTGAGGGTGTCATTACTGAGAAATGTCAAACAAAATCAAAACCTTACATTTGAAAACAGGTTTGCATTCCTCCACTGAAGGTGACGTTATCATTGGAAACAATAAAAGCTAATTGTTTTGATGTAGAATCTATATATTGAATCGTTAGAGCAGAACAGAATGGTTGTATTGTAGCCTGAGTTTCGTGCAGCCTTTAGTTTTACCAGGTGGAAACATTGTCTATATAATGTGAATACATGTAGAACTAGACATTAAGAGGCCCCTGACATTAGGCCTATTTGAAACAATAGTAGGGGCTTTTACCAGCTCGCCAACTTACAGGCATCCTCTGCATAGCAGTATGAATAGCCTTAAAAACAACCCACTCTGCGGTAACGAGAGTCATGTATCTGAACCAAATGCCCTAAGTGAAGCCGTTAGTCTCATCTGACTGACCCAAGGGTTGGTGCTGGTGTGACAGGGAGGCTTCCAAGTGTTCATAGCAGATGTCATGCTTTCAGTTCATGGCTCGGCGGGGGGGAGCAGACCCATGTGAGACAGTATCAACGGCTGTAATGTTCAGTTTGAGGAGTGTCATTCTCATGGGAGCAGGAAATGGTGTCCATTCAGACCAGACCATTAATGTCATGTAGAGCAGCCATAGCATCTCT